AATCAAATTCCCTTACTGCCTACAGCCCATTGACCTCCTTTAGGAGCTCAGCTTCCTCGATGATGATATTTTGCTGGGGGCAAAAGGGAATCTTGGCTTAACATTATCCCAACCTCAAGGATCCTGTAAGTCTACTTCCTTTATCCCAACTGCCCAAAGATATATGCTAGCAATCATACTCCAAGCCCCCTGATATACATCTTAGGGGTCTCATGACTGAGGTTTTATTAAAAGGTAATAAATGGTGTTTCCCTAGCAACAGCTAGCCCCTCAAGGTCCTGGAAACCGTGCTTCCAAAATTCCTTAGAGATTTGTTCTATCCCTGACCCCCTCCCAACCTGAGGGTATATAAGGAGTTACCTGTTATGACCCCATGCAGCTCTTCATGCCCATGGATCTTGCCCCCACGCTCTAGTAAATCACCTTTTCTTTCACCAGAGGTCTTCAAGAATTCTTTCTTGGCCGTTGGCTCTAGACCCCATGAACCCCCATTACCCCAAAACTTCATCATAGTCAATGTGAGTAGTTGTAGACCACATATGGTCAGTCCTGTTTGTTCCCTGGATGAGAAACCCATAAAAGTTTAGGACCAAAACTCAAGGATATTCCAGTCAGTCACCTGAGTTCCATTGCCTCTTCCCACAGCCATCTAGCACAGGGGTTCCAGCTCAGGACCCCAGACTTCTCCAATTGATTCCATCTGAGACGTGGGGCAACAAATGTAATGCTTATAATTGTTTTTAACACGCTGTAACTGTATTAAAAGCACAAGATGCAAGAGGAAGTTCTACATAGACGGCATTTATTATTTCTATTTCCAGTACATCAGTATTTTAGGAAATAATCAGATATACATTTTTAAGGAAATGAGGAAAAATTAAGTAACAGTTGCAAGTAGATGGATTTTCAAAAGTGAGAAGAAAATGGACAATAAGCCAATCTGAGGTTTGAAGGTGAGATTCTGCATAGATACAAATTAGGATTAAAGATTCTCATTTTAATGTACATTTTTTTCCTGATTATCTTTTGAAAGATTTCTGCAAAGTCTGACAACCAAACTTACTTCATCTATTAAGTTGGTGATGGGGAAGGAAGAATACACTGATGTGAACTGAACTTAACTGTATTCAATGATCTGGTACTGACGTGGGTAGACTCTACCTCTCAGTCTGCCCAACTCTATCCCTCCATGAGGCTTATGCACAGAGTATCTACTCACTGCTCGTCTTCTCCAGTGTGGCAGTGCCATTTCTATATGCTAAGAATTTATACACCAGGTCTACTGTGACCCAAGTTTTAATAACCACAGGTTCTGCTTCTATATTACATATAATTCATCTAAAACTCAGCAAAGATCGAGTGCTTTGTCACCTAAAATGTATCAGTGTTGTTCAACCTGGGGAAGTTGAGTTTTCAGGGGAAGACCCATTTCTTTCTCTTCCATCGCTGTTCCTCTTCTCTTTCCTTATTGTTACAACTGTTCCCTCGACTTGTCCTTATTCTCATTTTTAGTATCTTCTGCCTTCTCCTCCCTTGTTAGTTTGTCTTCTGGGAGAAATAAACTCTCAATACTTGTTATTTCTGGTAATGAAACATAGAATATGTCACACCTTCTGGAGATGTGGAATGACAAAGGAACAACCCTTTGTAAATCTACAGGGGGCTACTCAAAACAATTTTTTTTTTTTATTCTTTTTGTTCCACATGATTGGAGCAAAAACATTTATATCTCATTCATGGTCTAGAATTAAATTACTTGATCCCTCTGGATTTCTTTTACCTCCTCTGTAAAAGGAGGCAGACCAACCACTAACATTGTATTAACTGATGATTCATTCAATAAATATTTATTCTACTTATCCAAGTACTCTTACAGTCCTTCACAAAAAGAAACCAAAGAGCTACGTATCTGGATCCCCTGAGAACCATAGTAATAACCTGTGAATTAAAATATTTTTTTAAAAATCCAATTAATAGAGCTCTACAATTAATCCTCATTATTATTCCTGCCTGTTTCTTCTATTCTCTAGCTAAGCTTCCACAAATACCACCTACCTATTTTCCTAGTAAGATTATATTTTCTTTGTTGTTTGCAAAACAAAAGTGTTCACTGTGTTACAGGAAAGAATGACCTATTAAAAAGACATTATAGGAAGCAGAATGTAAGTTACAATAGAATGTCTCTTGTGTAGGCTTATACTCCTACGTGCATTATTTTATTTTTTCCTCACATAATCCTTTGAGAAGGTGCCATCTACTCAACTTTACAACAAAGAAAATTCACTGTTCTCTTGACATGTGTGTACTAAAGAAACTTCCTTTCTCTCAGTGCATACCCATAGCTCATAATACATATCTCAAATGTGTTAGTGGAATTAGGAATTACATTATAATCAAATTCAATTTTTCCTTCTCATTCTTAGTATTTTATGTATGTCTACTTTTGTAAAGTATACACTAAGGAAGGAACATGTACTGAGTAAGAAAACCCATTAAGAGAAGATTAGTTCTTGGGGCGCCTGGGTGGCTCAGCCAGCTGAGTGTCCGTCTTTGACTCAGGTCATGATCTCACGGTTCATGGGTTCAAGCCCTGTGGTGGGATCTGTGCTGTCAGCTCAGAGCCTGCAGCCTGTTTCAGGTTCTGTGTCTCCCTCTCTCTCTGCCCCTCCCCCGCTCATGCTCTGTCTCTCTCTCAAAAATAAACAAACATTCAAAAAAAAATTTTTTAAAGAGATTAGTTCTTAATATACAGTACACTGGTTGAAATTTCAAATTTTAAATCTCAATTCAAATGACATTAAATAGAAATTGACTTTTGATTCCTATAGTTTTCACACAACGTTTATGGGTTTGACTGTGAACACTGTAAAGCAGCTATATCCACATCTTTTAGAACACCATTTCTGCTACTTCTTTTAAAGGCTGACAGGCTCCCAAATTTTTCCAGCAAAGGGGTGTGTGTGTGTGTGTGTGTGTGTACGTGTGTATCTATTATATGTAGGTTACTGTAAATCTATCTGAATTAGGGCAATTCTCCTGGTAGCCAAAATTAACTCAGGAGACAACTTTAAATAGATAAGTTCTAGGACAGCTGTGTGACATAATTAGCAACAAAATAGCTTAAAACTGTAATTTTATTAGCTATTAAAATAAAAAATGAAAGACTTGCAACAATGCTTTGCTGTGATAAGTGTCTTACAAATTCTTCAAACATTAAGTTCTCTCATTACAGTAATTTTAACCTGTTTGATGGGTTTTCCATCTAGTACTTAAATGTATCTAGGAGATACATAAAACTCCTTCTGAAAACAGTACTAAAGGGATAAGTCATTAAAAGTCAATTTGGTTATTAAATTTTCTTCAGGGGCTTTATTTGCTACTAGTTAAGCTCATCATTCACTATCCTATACAAATAAAAACACCAATTAAAGGCAAGTGATGAGAAGAGAGAGAACAGGTCGTTTATTTTCAGTAACCAGACCTTCTGCACCAATCACAGGGACCAAATCAAAGATAATCCTATTCACATTCCCAATAGCACAGATAGGACAATTTAATTTCTTTAACAGGAGACAATCATTTGCACAGTATCATAATAAATAAATATTTCTGTACTAAGACACATCTTATGAGAGAATTCAGAAAAAAGTGTGTGGCTCTCACAAGCATTAATCTAATCAGCTGGGAAAGATCTTCCTGGCTGAGGTACTCTTTCTAGAAAAAACAATCACTGGAAATCATTTCAAAGGCTAGGGTCTTTAAAAATCAGGGGGCAAAGTACAGAGAATAATTTTATTTTTCTAATTTTATTCTAAAATACAAACACGACTCACTATCATTATATCAGCATAACTCCATGATGTATTTTTCTCTCCAAATTCCTAATATAACGTCATAAATATTAAATTTGAAACTGCTGACATTTGATCAAAACTAACACACAAAGAAAAAAATTAAATCGTCAGTTACATGAAATAAGCAATTACCAAGTACTGGGCTTTTGAATTACAAAGCTTACAAAACAGTTCTATAATTACCAAAATCTCAAGGCCAAAAAAGACACTAGACATTTTCAAAAACAAAGATATTTTGAAACAGAACACTAGCTTAAATCATACGAAACAACTTGGACAAGATTCTGATACAAAAATTGCAACTGAGATGAAGTTGAAAGAATAATTTGAATTCAGTCCAGTTAAGCCACATTGCCACCCGAAAACCTATTTCCTTTTCTAAATGAAACAAGTTATCTCAAAACTTTTAAGCACTGAAATGGCCTGAATTTCCTTTATTTGTCCACGGACTGTAAGAAAATATTCTTATATAGCAACAAAACATGATAGAAAAGAAAAATAAATCTGTGAGTACCTTCTTTATCTCAGAGTACATCAAATACATTCAGGCTCTTTTCTAGAATTCTAGAAGTTCAGGTGAATTGCTTTACTCAAACTAAGCCACACCACAAAGGAGGAGGAAAAAAAATTTTCCACTTTCAATGGAAATATCCATCAATTTCTGAAAAAGTGAATTAAAAAAGTACACAGCATTCCAGATCAAAGCATCAGTGCCTTGATTAAGTGCCTTAATTTTCACAAGAAAATTTAACCTAAGGTTTCATTATTCCAGTTATATGGTTCTGTGCCATCCTTGCAAAGTCAGTATTTTGAGTTTTTAAAACATTTCCTTCCCTAGAGAACAATTACAATGGACTTCAGGTAGTCTGTTGGCAAAGAATGAGAAATGTCAGAATCTGTCCAAGTGTTAACCAGTATTAGAGGGAGGAGAGGTTTAACAGTTACAATTGGATACACGAAAACAATTTTTAGGTCCCAAGTTCACTACCATAATTTACCTTAAATTAACAAAAAGCCATGATTAATAAAATCTGTTCACTTTGTATCAGCAGTTCTAACACGGTCACAGAAAGGTCAAATCTTGGGGGGCACACACCCTACTTAGTGCCCCAGCCTGGCTCCCAGCTGTCAGGTTAGGTGCACCATCTACTTTAACAGGTTCTGCAGCATGGCCGTCGCATACGTGGGCCTCGCCTGTTTGCTCTCAATTGCATTCTGGAGGTACTGGATACCTCCGCAGCGTTCCCAAATTTCTTCAAACTGTCTTGGCAAAATCTCAGCACCACGCTTTCGAGTCAGGCCTGTCTCTTCAAGATTCAGCTCACACATCTCCATGTCATCCTTCCCTGCGCAGGTGAGACATCAGAGAATTAAGCATGTATCTCTTGAGAGGCGCTTATTATAGACTTTATACCTGAAAGAGTTACCAATTCTCACAGAATTGAGAACTTTTAAAACTTTGTTTTCTTCCTCTAAGACAGAAATCTCCTTAATAAGTTCACCAGAAACAAGTTAAATTTGTCTTCCACCAAGGACCTTTCAGAAAGTACTAACACTGCAGTTGATCAAACACGTTATCAACCTTAATAAAAATGCTACATTTCTTTAAACAATTATAAATCAACTGATATAATTAAATACCAATGATAAGGCTCTAAGGACACAGACAAGTTTCTATGTGTTCTACGAGGACATAATTAATCCAAACAATTTCACATCATAAATTAATCCTCAAGTAACTGGAAGTCTAATTTAACTGCAAAACTCCATCCCTCAGTCCTGAAATTTAATGGATTATTAATATTGTATATTAGGCTGTTTCCTTCAGAGGGTTTATAATCCTTTTTCCACGTGACTCACACACACCAGCCACAAGCAGGATGGGCGGCTTGTCAGGATGGAGTTCCATCTGCCGGGCAATCCACGGGCCATCAAAGTGCGCGTACCACCAGCCTTTTTTCTTATTCTGCGGGTCTTTGTACTGGTCGGCAGGGCGGATGAATGGGATGCGGAAGAAGCGCTGCTGTCGGTTCATTTCGATCTCCTGCTGCCTGGCAGGAAGCTGAGACGCTGGGTTCTGCTGAGCTATTACAAAGAACAAGCGAGGGAAGTTACACCAGCAGCCCAGGGGATAACGCAAACAGCCTTTACTCCTAAAATGCACCACACATTTTGTAAGAGAAGAAGAGGGGTTCCTAATAGTAAATCTAAAACACATGTAAATATCAATTACTTAGAAGTGAATAAAACTTCACTTTTTAGTGAATTTTCTTTCCCTAAAGATGTTGCTTAACATCGCAAGTACACATATACACACACACCACTCCCCCTCACCCCCGCCATAACACCAACAACAAACAAGCCCCAGCAGATTCCCACAAACGTCTGTATCAGTAACCTAAAATAAGAAAAGCAAAACAGTATTATTTGCTAGGATTTACAATTTTCCTCCAAAGAGTTCAAAGCTGAAGGCCACAGAATAACTTTCATGAGACTATCCATGATAAAACAAATGAATGGTAATTTCACAAACGTGAAGAATTATAGATACCTGTCAATCTAATTACTATTTCCTCAGAAAAGTGGAAGACAAAAGTTTGCTCTTTTGCCAACTGATTTTGGGATTTAAACTGGCCAGAACAGATATTTTACTACTACCACTACTAGACAACTTCATGACAACAACAAAAAAACTGAAACAGTAAGCATGAACTTTCCTGAAATCCTCTTTCTCTTGGGATAAAATCCACTGAAATAAGTGGGAAGTATATAATATTTGGTTTTGTCATTAAAAAAAAAAAAAAAGAAAAAGAGAAAGAAAAACGCTTGCTTTTCTGCTACTACTGGACCCGGCACTCATAACAATTTTTTCCCCTTGCTCAATTTTCATTACAAAACAGTTAGGTTTTTATTTTATCTACGAATACAAACACTTCCCTGGGCAATAATTTTGCAGTTTCAGCAGCATAATTTCAGAAAGTCTGTTTAATATGCTTTTTACTCACAACTTTAAAAGTAGACCAACCGTTTACTGCAGCTCAATTAAGAACCTCACTGAAATGCTTAAGTATGTCAATGAAAAATTATAGAATATATGTAAGTCAAGAAGGCCACATGGCTTTTGTAAGAATTTCCAAATACTGAAAGGATGAAAACACTCTTATTCTACTTTTAACACCAATAGCAAAGGCTTTATAGCAACTGAATTTATTTCTGTGGAAACCAGAGAAAGCAAAAAGCAGTTAGCAAAGCTGCACATGCCTAGGAAAGAATGACACCAAAGCCCAGTTTTGTTAGTGACTTTAAAGAGACACACCGCCTGCAGCATGTTCATAGACATGAGTTCATTTACTCTTTGTTCCTCCAAACTACTTACAGTTTAGTGTTTCCATTTTAACTTTTAAAAATTTCCTACTTTGCAGAAAATATACTAACCCCAAATTAAGAAATTTTAAAAGCATAAGAAAAAAAACTTTCCCTCCATCCTAAGCAGTAACAGAATACCGAACTGACAGGGAACTTACTAGGATACTGATGGCCACTTGTTAAATTAACCTTTTTTCTTTTAAAATAACAGCCTCCTGTACCTTAATATATTGGGTAAAATTTAAAAATCCAAGGGAAAGTCTTTGATAGTTTCTTTTTTTTAAACTAATGTTGAGAACTGAACATTGCATTAAGGAAGCCTTAATTTCCACAAATATTCATCTGAATAAGTACAAAGATATGGATGTTAAAAGTCTGAAACTAGGGGCACCTGGGTGGCTCAGTTGGTTAAGCACCCAACTCTTGATTTCAGCTCAGGTCATGACCCTGCAATTCGTGGAACTGAGCCCCAAGCTGGGTTCTGCATCACAGAGCTTGCTTGGGTCTCTCTCTCTGCCCCTCCCACACTCTCTCTTTGTCAAAATAAACATTTGTTAAAGTTTGAAACTAATAAATGACTTTTTTTCACATCCAATTGTGTCACCTTTAAAGTATGAAATGTTTTAAATGTGGCCCTATAAATTACAAGAAGCACTTAAAAAAAAAATCAGGTCCAACAAGTTGGCAAACAAATATGGTATTATATCCAAATCATTATTGCTCAACTGACTGCAAAAAAAATTTACTGTATGCTAAAATGACTCAAAGCTTTTAAATTATCAAAAACATGCATCACAGGACACTATACAAGTCACGGAATAATCTCCTTCTTCTCTTAGGGGGCATCCTATTAAACCTGTATAGATTATCACACAAATTCAGATGTCTTTGGAGTGAAATGTTGATACCCTAACAGTGTTCGAAACCAGCACCTAAAGTTAGTCTTAATTCTAAAATATCAGCTGCTTATTGAGTTTTGCTACAATAAGAACTGTGCATATTCACAGCTTAAAGTGCTATTTTTTTAAAAGGAAACAATTTCATAAAACAACAGATTAATTTTGTTCTGCATATGTATTTTGGAGTGATCCAAATGAAAGCATAATCTCAAATTAAATATCTTAGTATGGCCAAACCAACATTAATGTAGTACAACTCCACTTAAAATTGTAGCAAAACAAAGTTTAATAGAAGTTAGTACTTTATAAAGTATTTTTAACCCATCTTCCAGTTAGCTTATAAGTTACAACCCATTGACTTACGTGAATTGTTCAAAAATGGTGCAAAATCTGTGAATAAATATTTTACATTGAAGAAAACATAAAAGTGTCAAAACTGTTAAATGAGCATTCTTCTCATTTATAAAGCCTTCCCATCAATCAAGGAGGTGACTAATAAATAAATATCCTATCCACAGCCAAATATTCTCATAATTACCTACAAGTATATGCTCCTTTCTGATTTTTTTTTAAAAGGCTATTTTGATAATATTTTAGGAAATTCTGCTGATGGACATATAAAGAGGATCTAAATTCAAAAATATATGTATTTCATTTGTAATTTTGGGATACAGTAATATTCAAACAAAAATCCAACATGATGACTCAATAACAGATATTATAGTACCTTCAAAGCATTACTAGAATTTTTGTAGAAATAAAAAACTTCTAAATTCATCAAAAAAATATATGCCTTAGAGAAAAAGCACTGCCATGTTCATACACATTCAGTATGTTCTAATTTCTTTCAATTCCCTCAATCTTAAACTCATGCAATTTTTATTTTAGTAACTACGAAATAAAACTACTCTCCAAAGTCACTGTCTTAAGCAACTAAATACTGTAAATCATTACCGGGTAATTTGCCACTGCCCTAAGAATTATTTCTGGAAATCTCTTTCCATAGTAAATGTGATGAGAATGTGCTCACCCAGTACAGCATATAGGAGGAGGGTCTGATTCTCTCTACTCCCAGTTACAAGACTTTACTATGATCTGTCAAGTATTATTCTTAGGTAACAGCTACTTATATTTTTGTTAATCACAAGTTGTCACTTTATTTTCTCAAATTAAGGAATTCTTATCCTTGTAAACATTAAACTACAGAGTAGTTCCTTTTAAAGGTTTATTACCTACCCCTCTAGGAAACTACCTAGGTACAGAATTTTCTCAACTGAGCTGTTAGAAGTATCGTAGTACACCTCACCTCCTTTTAACTGTACTCCTGTGTCAGAATGTATTTTACATGGGGAAAAAATAAAGAAAACAATAACTACTTTCAGAGCAGAAGTTACATTTTATCCTGAAAATGTCCCATAACCAAAGGCTACATACATGTGGAGTGTGTGTTCACATAAAATTCCATAAATTTGTTCATATACCTACATGGGACTCTTGGGAAATTTTCTTAATCTACTCTTTTGTTCTTCCAAATAGTATTATTATGAATGGAAACAGTGTAAGAACATACTCAGTAAGGTGTGTTCACACAAGGTAAGCCATGTATCATTTGCCCCTTTGGGGGTAAAGCTGGATGAGTACAGTACCAAAGTTTGGTTTAAAACTATAAGAAATATTTGTGTGTTCATTAAAAATATATGTGCCCTATATTACAACATTACTTGTTTTAAGAAGTGCAATCATTCAAATGTATACATTTTGGGGGAAAAAAAACCATAATAAACACCTATCAGCTAAAGGCCATAATTAGAACATGACAGCTAAAAAGGTTATACCTAAACGGAATAGCCTATTCACATTTTTAGAAAACAAAGGAAACTGGTTAGAAACTTGTTACAGTAAACAGGTAATGGAATCATCCTGATATATTCAAATCCCAGAGATAAATCTATAAGTTAGAGAAGACAGTGGTGGTCACAAGAATATAATTGTGTAGAAGGCCTTCAAACTGCCAGTTCTTAGTTCTGGGTTCTCTCTCTTTGCCCTTCCAGAGCATTATATTCTGACTGATGACCACCACCACCACTCCCACCCCCCGCCCCCACCAAGCAATCACTAGCACTTACATCTAATTAACAATTACTTCCTTTACTCAATCTATTCTTTGCAACAACTTGGAAATACTAAAATTGTACCACTTAATTGACGTTAATCAAACATTGCTTTCTTTTATTTACTCGGAAGATAGTGAGGAAGGCAAAATATAACTAAATGAGAGTTCATTTTCTAAGCCAACTTGGGTCATGCATTGTGAAACTATACTGTCAAGTATTGGGAATGATACTTTTTTAAATAAAGACATTAAACATGGAAACTCTTTACATTTCCACATATAATCGTTCTGCATGTGTATATACGTATATGTGAAAAAATACATATTTACAACATTACTGCACAACTACTTCAGAATAGACAAGAATATTCTTACCTCCAGAGTTTACTTAACAAGTAAATTCAAATACTTCTCAATAAATATGACTTTAAAGACATATTAATAGAAATAATGCTATGAAAGATAAGCCACCATGGTTGTGTTAGGCTCAGTGATTCACAGCTGCATGGTACAAGAAAATCTGTATTATATATTTTACCCAAATGTCTTATGTATAGTTACATATATTTATATATAGATACTCTGGAGCATTTAAAAGTACAGATTTGTTTTTACCATAATCAGTAACAGACTTTGGAGCACGTTGCTCTGTTTCAGTGTTTCTCTTCTTATTCTTGGATTTCCAAGCATGATACACTTTTAGTCTTCTGTGAAATTCTTCTCTGCAAGCTGCCAGGAGCTCAATATCTATGGATTATATAGAAAAAGCACCCCCCCACCAAAAAAGGAATTAGCATCCTAATTTAGTTGTCTAACATAATTATTCTGTGGCATAAACTTATATATATTTACACATATAATACATTTTTTGTTTTTAAATAGTACAAAATCAAAAGTAAGCATATTATTGATAAAGATGACCATTTTACAGTAATATTATCTTTTACATTTACAGAGCATTTTCTTATGCATTATTACTATACCATTTGTTCTACGTAAGAACGCTGGGCTAAATAAATAAGTCTTTTATGAGTGAACCTGAATCAGAGAGGTGAAGTCACTTGTCCAAAGTCAGAGTCACTGTGCTCAAATGCAAGGTGTATTTAAATGCAACAGATTTTTTATGTTTGTAATTATGCAGACAAAGTCAGTGAGGAGGGAGAAAACATAACAAGTTCTGTACGCTTATGGCACCTGAGTTCATAGGCATAGCATCCTAAACTCAAACACTGTGATTTAAACAAGAACACGGGGCGCCTGGGTGGCACAGTCGGTTAAGCGTCCGACTTCAGCCAGGTCACGATCTCGCGGTCCGTGGGTTCGAGCCCCGCGTCGGGCTCTGGGCTGATGGCTCAGAGCCTGGAGCCTGTTTCCGATTCTGTGTCTCCCTCTCTCTCTGCCCCTCCCCCGTTCATGCTCTGTCTCTCTCTGTCCCAAAAATAAATAAATGAAAAAAAAAATTTAAAAAAAATAAAAATAAAAATAAACAAGAACACAATTATGTAGAATCATATGGATATAGTATTTTACTGCTTTGTTGGAAGAAAAATAGCTTTAAAAACAAAGCACTGCATTGCCATTTTTTACTTTGCATATGTAGGTCAAGACTCTGATACACAGGTATTTAAGTATTATGAATACCATCAGAAGGGTCAGTCATTAATACAGACCAAATCATAATTTCTCTCTGTTTTCCCTCTTAGACCTATATAAGAGACAGGCAAAATGAATTTAACATAAAGTCTTTCTTTGTGAGTAAACTAGGTCACTATTTCAAGGTGAGAATAACAAAGAGAATGGTTTATGTTAATTTATATGCCAAAAAAGAAAAAAATTTGCTCCAGTCTAAGTATTTCTTTTTTACCTGTTAGCCATGGAGCTTCCCAATTTTTCATCTTCTCCATACACTTACCACAAGAAGTATTGATGGTATCACGTAGTTCTGCATATTTCCATTTACTGAGATCGTATTTCTTGGTACCAGCAGCTGCCTTGGTGGCTTGTACAGCAGGACCTCTGTAATTATTATATATTTTTACATGTTTAAAATAGAAGCACAAAGGACATGTTGACTAAAGGGGCAAGAAGGTGAATCTAAGTCTGAGAACTGGAAATAACTACTAAAAAACCATATATTTTTGTATCTTTAACAGGTGAGATTAAGAATGGTATACTACAGGGGCGCCTGGGTGGCTCTGTTAGTTAAGCATCCAACTTTGGCTTGGGTCATGATCTCACAGTTTGTGAGTTCGAGCCCCGCGTCAGGCTCTGTGCTGATAGCTCGGAGCCTGGAGCCTGGAGCCTGCTTCGGATTCTGTGCCTTCTTCTCTCTCTGCTCCTCCCCAACTTGTACTCTGTCTCTCTGTGTCTCTCAAAAAATACATAAATGTAAAAAAAAATTTTTTTTGTTTAAAGAATGGTATATTACAGGATTCTTATGTAAATTAAAATCTTCCAGTGTGCCATTTAATAGCCATATTATGTTTTCAATCAGAACTTCTGATTCTAAAACTCTGGTACCATGGACCTATCCCAGACTTCAGTTTAAATATTCCAACTAATGGATAAGTGGACACTTAATGTTAAAAACTACATTTATATATATTCCTCAAAATCAGAAAGAAAATCCTCTTGATTTCCTAAAAATCATTAGAAGTACATTAATGGTTTATGAGCCATAAAGGCGCACAGTACAATCACCCACAGACTACCAGAAGCTACAGGCGGCCAAGTCCCAACAAAAGCTACTGGCTCAGAACTTCCCTGGGCATGTGGTTGATGCAGGGTCCATAGGTGAGTAGCCAAACTGCAACCCACTGCCATTAGTTGTGAAAGATGGGCTAAAATAGCTGCTTGGAGTCTGGAAACCCCTGTGTTAAAGAACACTTAGAAAAGTTCTCTAAGGGGCGCCTGGGTGGCTCAGTCGGTTAAGTGTCCGACTTCGGCTCAGGTCATGATCTCACGGTCCGTGGGTTCGAGCCCCGCGTCAGGCTCTGGGCTGATGGCTCAGAGCATGGAGCCTGCTTCCGATTCTGTGTCTCCCTCTCTCTGCCCCTCCCCCGTTCATGCTCTGTCTCTGTCTCAAAAATAAATAAACATTAAAAAAAAATAAAAAAAAAAAAGTTCTCTAAGAAGATAAAACCACACCCT